ATTGTTGTATTCTCTGTTCTGCTTAGTTTTTTGGATCTTTGCTGTGGAGGGACGGTGTGGTGCTTCTGCCTAGAGCGCCATTTTGCTGGAACTCACCCTATATGTATTTTTGAAGCTGCAATTTATTATCAATTTAAGAGCAATTAAAGGTCCTAATACAAGTGTTTCATGTCTTGGGGATTTGGCTGCTTTTTGCATAGCATTTCATTCCTGTTCTCACACAGCCTGATGAACTGTCCTCTCTCCACCCAGGCTAGGCCAAATCTTCAGCCCCTCTGCCACACCTTCTCCAGGCACTCGCCCTGCCCCAAGCCCTCTTCTTGCATACTTCAAGTGAAGTAATTTATCACTGCTGCTGCTGTCTGTATCCTACTCCAGACTGTGAACACTTCACTTGGAAGGACTCTCTTCTTTGGTTTTATAACTCTGGTACCCCACCTGTAGCAGGGTTTGTTCAGCGAATGAGCATGTTCAAGGAAGTGTGGAAGGAATGGAAGCCAAGGGTAACTGAGGAGCAGGGTTTGCTGGAGTCTGGAGAGAATAAATGATTGCTAGAAAAGCCAGCCACCTCAAGGGCAGTCATAGTAGAGGCCTCTCTCAGTCAAAGCAGAAGGATGTGGATATCTTAGTCACCTAGTGCTGCTATAACAGAAATACCACAAGTGGATGGCTTTAACAAAGAGAAGTTTATTCTTTCACAGTCTAGTAGGCTAGAAGTCTGAATTTAGGGCACCAGCTCCTGGAGAAGGCTTTCTTTCTCTCAGCTCTGGGGGAAGGTCCTTGTCATCAATCTTCCCTTGGTCAAGAAGCTTCTCAGTGCAGGGACCCCAAGTCCAAAGGATGCGCTATGCTCCCGGTGCTGCTTTCTTGGTGGTGTGAAGTCCCCTTTCTCTCTGCTCATTTCTCTTTTATATCTCAAAAGAGATTGACCAAAGACACAATCTAATAATGTAGATTGAATCCTGACTCATTAACATAACTGCCTCTAATCCTGCCTTAATAACATCATAGAGGTAGGATTTACAAGACATAGGAAAATCACACAATACTGGGAATCATGGCCTAGCTAAACTGACACATATTTTGGGGGAACACAGTTCAATCCATGACAATAGAGAAGGCTCCAAAGCATGCTGGGAAGCTGCAGGGCTTCAGGCACTGGAAGGTTCAAGAGGGCTGTTGGCTGCCCAGTGCTCTACAGAAGGGACATGAAGGTTGCATCAACGCCATTTCTCTAGCTCAGTTCTAGCTCTACAGCCTCACCCTTGAGGACATGGCACTGCCTGAAAAGCACACTGTATCTCCAAGCAAACATTGACGCTGGCTTCTTTATTTTTTGTAAGTTAAAACATCTGATCCAACGATCTCATTCCTTTCAGCAGAAAAGAAAATTAAGATAATCTTTAATGAAGGTTAAAGGACTTGCCAAAAGTCATACAGAAACTGAGAAAGCCAGATTAAAACTCAGGTTTCCAAAATTCCAGACCAGTGGGATGTAATTCTTTGGGGGGAGAGGAAGAGATTAAAAGGAAGATGGAAAGCCAGAAAGCAGTTTAGGCAACTGCTTCAATCTTTGTATCCAAAGTAGAGCTGATGGCCTGAGTGGCCCCCATCCTTCATCCTGACGTTGGGTCTTCTGTATGGTGCATCAGTATTGAAAAAAGAGTGTTGAACATACTCCTGTCAGAGATGCTGTGAGGACATAAGAAGAGGGCCCTGAAGAAGTTAATAATTGTTAGGTAAGTAATAACCAGTTGGCTCTATCATTGTGCTGCTTGGCTCCCTGCACATAGAGCTAGGACAGAGGGGACCACACAGAGAGAAAAGGTCAACTGCCATTTTATTGGAGGCACCATCACAGGACAGGTGGCGAGGGCTGCCCCATCAGCTCTGACATGGAAGAAGATGGGCATGCACTGGACGAGAAGGGCCCAGAGTCCCACATCTGCAGCCCCCATCGTTCTTAAAATCAAGAGAAAGCAGAGCCCCTTAGCACTCCAGCCCCTAGCTACCTCCCCAGCACAGCAAAGCAGAACAGAGCAATAGACGGCCTAGGACGGAACATATAAGGTTCAGGCACCAGCTCCTGCAGCCCCAATTTCCTATCCCAATCTTCTAGCTGGTGCTGCTCCTTCTAAGGAAGGGCTTATGGAAGGGGTGGCCATGGCCTGGCTCACAGCTCATGGGAGCACGTGGGTGTGGGTGTGGGTGGGAGACAAGAGGCTCTCAGGAATGGAATGACAAGAACAGAGAGAAGACCAGGAGAGGGTGGGAGAATTCCCAGGACTGGGCAGGGCTTGCAAAGAGGTGGGCCACAGCCACATTGGGGTTGCCGCCGGCGGGCTCAAACCACTTCTGGATACACCGTCCACTGCCGCGGCGTTCAGGGCTTGCCTTGTAGGAATTGCTCCAAATCTTCTCACACAGGTCAGCCGGGGTGGGGAAGTAATCAGGGAAAGGGAGGCAGTGAGCCCCTGCAGGGCAGCGGTTCTTCCCTGTGGGAGATTGGGGAATGCACAACTTACCTACTGCCACCACCTCCACTACTCCCACACCCCCAGTATTTGCCCGTGGGAGGAAAGGGGGGTTTACCCCTGCCCCCAGGTAGAGGACCTCCCAGGGGCTGCTTCCTTCCCCTGGCCCTGTTGAGCGCACTCACCCCGACTCCAATCCCAGCCACCCTGCCAGTTGGATTTGCATGTGTATGATGAGCGGCAGTCGGCCCACCACTGCTCACAATCCTCCCGGCACAGCGGCACGCCCACAATGCGCTGTCCCTGCCCACGAGGGTCAACCTGGGCCAGGCACAGAAACAGACAAGAATATTAATAGCAGTAGTTTAAAGACTATTAATAGCTACAATGATACTTATGCCAGGTACTATCTGTACATTATCTCTTATCACATAGCCTATAAAGTAGTAGTATTTTACAAATGAGAACAACAAGGCTAGAGGTTAGTTTGTCCCAGACCATAAAGCTAATAAATACAAAAGATGGGATTTCAACTCAGGTCCATCCCACTCCACCAAGCTGCCCATAGGTGATAGTCCTTCATCCTACTGTTCCCATTGGAACACTGGCCTCTCCAGGGTTGAAGTAACTTTCTCTCCAGCCCTTTCCTCCCTGGGGGCCTTTAACTCTACTCTGTCCATAGGGGGACAACATCTCCTGCTCCTACTAGCATTCTGGAGATGCCAGTTTAAGATCGGATGGGCGCTCAGCCTCTTAGTAACAGGCATTACACTCATCTCTTCCTGCCCCTCCCTCCCATCTTGCCTTCTCACCTGCCGGATCCAAGGCCCCAGGTTTGGGGAGCACTCATAGAAGCAGAAGGCCTGGATGAAGTGTTTCTGACAGCTGGGGGTCAGAAGCCCACAGTGAGTCAAGCTGAAGTTGTAGAGCAGGGACTCTTCTAGGTGGGCCTCCCAGCTCGTGCTGGCGGTGCAGCAGGCATTGTCCTTCCAGGGGATGCACTGAAGGTGGGGGAGGAAGCAAAGGGGTGAGTATATAGGCCACAAGGGGGCAGAATAAAAATTCTCTTAGGAGAGGACCAGGGCTGGTGAGATCCCTTTAGACCAGCAACCCCCTACCCTGGTTGTTGTTATTGTTGTTGGGTGCCATCGAGTCGATTCTGACTCATAGCAACCCTGTATGACAGAATAGAATTGCCCCATAGGGTCTCCTAGGCTGTAATCTTTATGGGAGCAGATCACCATAAGCCAATTTCTCCCACTAAGCTGCTCATTGGGTGTGAACTGCCAATCTTTTGGTTAGCAGCTGAGCACTTAACTGTTGTGCCACCGGGGCTCCTTTGATTGTTGGAGGAGCCCTGATAATTTATCAGTATTCACACCAAAGGGCAGAAGGTGCCCTGCACACTGACCGCTCTGCCACAGGCTCCTGCAGTACCCTAAAAGCACAATTTCCTGGGCTTCAGCTCTTGGGAGGTCGCAGAGGCCTTTGAGGGGAGGCAGGGAGAGAGAGGCAGCCCAGGGAGAACCAAGGAATCTGGGATTGCATTGGTGGGAGAGTACATGTAGCTGGACTCACAGACTAAAACCTTGCTCACTCTACAACTCCTTCTCCTTCATCCCTGTTAATTGCCTTCAGGAGGTTGAGGGAGGGGTCACTTAAGAAATACGTTTTCCTAGGGTCTGCTGATAGGAGGACAAGGTTTGTTTTAATCTATACTGAACTAACAATGAGCTTCTGGGGTCACCATTTGACCCAGCTCCCTGTATGGCTGGAGCAGCTCAGAGATGGAAGCTTTAAATCACTGGACTCTAATGGTCTGCAAAGGTCATTCAAGGGTGGATTAACCAGTAAGCAAGATAGCCACGGGCTTAATTGTATTTACTTACTAATCTGTAGTGAACAATTTCACATGGGTTTCACATCTTTTATGTGGTGAAAAACTTAACAACAGGTTAGTAAGTAAGCACAAGTAAGCCTGTGTGTCCCTTGCTTATTGGGTGATCGTTCTCTGATCATAGTCTCTCTCTAGCTGCCTTTGCCCAAATCCCAACCTAAGGAACCAAACAAGGCTGGGTTGTTGGGGGTTCAGAGACCATCTTGACATTTGTGTCCCTCTCTCACCCCTAGGCCAGGTCTGACCTCCATACCTCCTCGTAGAGCTTGTCTTCTGGGCTGGGCTCTCTCTTGTGGTGTTTAGTGTTCATGCACACATTGAGCAGCTTGTCCCCAGTCCAGGTAGGCGTGACTGTCCACATCCCTAGCAGGAGCCGCAACCACCATGTCATGGCCTGCTGCAGATAGGACACCCACTCTGCTCACAGAATGGGGAGAACATCCCCATTCCCCTCCCTCCACCATATCAGGCACTGAGGAGGGAGAATAGTGTCAAAGTTCCCTGAAGTGACAGTGACACTGGCTGCTCTTCAGATCTGAGGCAGCATCACAGAGGGTTAGGCTGGGTGGAATAAACCTTAGATACTCTACCCCAACCATTGTATGGATGCACAAACTGAAGCCCAGAGAAGGGAAGATAGTAGCCCTAAGGTGAGAGTCAGGGGTAGAAAGTTTCCCAGCCTTCGCTGGAGAAATTTTTCCTGGCCCTTTTCTGCTGGGAGGCAGACTTTTTAACTCAGTGATATAAACCAGTTGCCATGGAGTCGATCCTGATTCATAGCAATCCGTTGTGTGTCAGAGTAGAACTACACTCCATAGAGTTTTCAACAGCTGCTTACTCGAAAAGTAGATCACCAGGCCTTTCTTCCAAGGTACCTCTGGGTGGACTTGAACCTCCAACCTTTCAGTTAACTATTTGCTCCACCCAGGGATTCCAGTCAGCGAGCTATGGGAGTGAGCTCTGGGCTGGGGATTCAGAGCTTTGGTCCTGGCCCACAACGAGCCTCAAAATGCTGGCCAAGTAACCAAACAAATGCCTAGTAACCAGATTCTCCAGGGTCCAATGGGTGTGACTAGGTAATGTGACAAACCCAGTTCTGCCCCACTGAGTGCTAACCCTAATTCCAGCCCCTCTGAGGGGTCCAAGCAAGAGCCACAGCTCCTTGGAGAAGCTTGTCCCTCTCCGGTTCCTAGGCCCTCTAGCTAGAGTCTTTTCCACTAGAGAAATCACTCTGTTTCCACCATCTTCATCCCATTTCAAATCCATCCTAAGCATGAGGCTGCATGGCCAGGCCGGAGTCAGAGAGAGGAGCCTTCTACTTCCAAAGCCCAATCCCATTACAGGAATGGGAGGGACAGCCTTTGTTGAGCACTAAGTTTCCAACCCTGTTCTGGATGGTGACGGTAAAGGGAGGGAAATGCAAATAGCCACCCCCTCCCCACCCCGCGCCCCAACCCCTCCCCCCAACTGAGGAACCCTGCCTCAAACACCCAGCCCCTGGGAGGACACTATCTTTTAAAAGGCAACTAGGGAACAGGCTCCCTCAGCCTTCACTCACCGTGGGGGCCCATGGCTCTCCCAGTCCCCTAGTCCTTGCAGGAGCCTGCAGTGGACCCAGTACAGTGAAACTGAAAGCCCAAGGACTAGCCTGGGTTTTTCTAGACCCCCAGACCCCACCTTCAAAGCCCATTCTCAAGTCTAAATCTAAGGTCACTCTCCGCAGCACCAGTTACAAGAGCATAAACAACCGTCGAGTATTTTTAAAGAAGCAGGTACGTTAGGCTTAGGCCAAAAGAGGAAAGATGCTTTTGGTGTTCCCTCCATACTCACTTCCATAGCAGTAAGCGCTTCAGGTGCTCCCTCCCACGCCAGGGACTTGGAGGCTGAGGAGAATTCCCCTGTTCTGCCCATTTATTACCCAAACCTATTTTTATTGCCCAAACCTGTTTCTACTAGGCCCAGGTGCAGAGCAGAACTCTAGGCAGCTCTGTTAAACAGCATCTGTCTTACCCAAGGATGTGGCCTCCTGTAGATGGGACAGGGTGGGTTCCCAGCAAGTTTGCTTCCTCGGAGAAAGAGAGGCTCCATAGTGGTTAAGATCCTGGATTCTTCCATCAGTTACTAAGTTCAGCTTTCAGTTTTGCTACTTGCTAGCTGGATGACTTTGGGAAAATTACTTAAACTCTCTAAGCATCAGTTTCCCCTGAAGAGGGTTAGTATAATGGGGTTGTCGGGAAGAAGAAATTAGAGTTGTTGTTATGTTCTGGAGAAAGATGTGGCAGTTTGCTTCCATAAAGATTTACAGCCATGGAAACCCTATGGGGCAGTTCTACTCTGTCCTATAAGGTCACTGTGAGTCAGAATTCACTAGACGGCAGTGGGTGGGTTGTTAGGTGCTGTAGAGTGGATTTCAGCACATAGTGTCCCCATATGACAGAGCAGAACAGCCCCACAGGGTTTTCTTGACTGTAATCTTTATGACAGCAACTCACCAGGTCTTTTTCCCATGGAGCCACTGGGTGCATTTGAACCGCCGATCTTTCGGTTAGCAGCTAAGCACTTAACCGTTGCATCACCAGAGCTCCTGGTGCATGAAAAAGACTTAGCATGGCTCCTGGCACAGAACAAGCACTCAGTAAGGTTTACTGGTTTTAATTCATATTCTTTTATTCTCTGGAGTCTCTCTCTCTGCCCAGCCCTCCAGCTCTCCTTGCCCTTTCATCAGCTCAGTTACCTGGGGTGGACCACCTGGTAGTTTGAGTAATAGCGCCTTCCTCAGCTCACAGGAGCAAAGCTTCTGACTGGAGAGCAGACCCACCAGCACACAGCAGCGCAGGAGATAAAGTGTGTGGCCTTGAGGATCCAAGAATTTAAGTGTGTGACCAAAGCCAAAACAAACAAACGAAAGTCCCTCCACAACCTACAGAATGGCCCCCTTAGCATGATGCCTCAAGAGCAGGGACATTGTCCTGTGAAATATTCTACAAGTACTCTCAGGAGTAATAATCATGAAAATATCCTTCTCCTCTAAAGAGAGGCTGTGAAACTTGGAGAGGACTCTTAGGAGAGTCCCAAAGACATGAGAACACTGGAAAAGAAGCCCTTTGCTTTGCCTGTTTCTTGTAACAAGCTTCCTTTCCAAAGTAGAAATAGCCAAAGCCACTGGAGTTTTGTTGATAACATGTAGGAAATTAAAACAGAACTCAAAAACCATTTTTTAACAGAATAAAATGAAACAAATACATTGTGTTGCTCAGCTGCACAGTTGATGTGCAAAGCATGTAATCATCATCGTGCTGGAAATGGACATTTCCCACTCATTGGTAATCACAGCCACTGTGTATTGGGTACTTACGAGGGCTAGACACGGGGCTGATGCTCTATATACACAGTCTCACTTACTCCTCACGATGACCCCACAGTGATCAGCCTCCCTACTTTAACTGTGAGGAAACTGAGGCTCAGCTAGGAAGTGGTAAAGTTAGGATCTGAATTCAGGTATTGTTACCTGCCATTGAGTTGGCCCCCAACTCATGGCAACCTCATGTACAATGGAATGAAATGCTGCCAGGTTCTGCACCATTCCCATGATTGCTTGGGGATTGGACCAGTGTGATCCATGGGGTTTTTATTGGCTAATTTTTGGAAATATCACCAGGTCTTTCTTCCTTGTTCATCTTAGTCTGGAATCTCTGCTGAAACCTGTTCAGCATCATAGCAACATGCAAGCCTCCACTGACAGATGGGTTGTGGCTGTGCATGAGGTACATTGGCTGGGAACTGAACTACGGTCTTCCACATGGAAGATGAGAATTCTACCACTGAACCACCGGTGCCTCAAGAACTCAAGTATACCTGACTCCATATTTGATGCTCTTAAGGACCAGGTGATGGAGAGACTTCCAGGACTGAAAGAGTAGAGGCTATCTGGGTCTCAAATGAAGTCTGTTTCTTTTTTTTTTTTTTTAAGTTAAATGCCATGATTAGATTGTGTGTGTGAGGGTGGGTGTTATGGATTGAATTGTGTCCCCCCAGAATTTCTGTCAGTTTGGCTAGGCCATGATTCCCAGTATTGTGTGGTTGTCCACCATTTTGTGATCTGATGTGATTATCCTATGTGTTATAAATCCTAACCACTATGATGTTAACGAGGCAGGATTAGAGGCAGTTATATTAATGAGGCAGTGCTCAATATACAGGATTAGGCTGTATCTTGAGTCAATCTCTCTTGGGATATAAAAGAGAGAAGTGAACAGAGAGGAGGGAGACCTCCTTCCACCAAGAATGAAGAACCAGGAGGAGCGTGTGTCTTTGGACTCAGAGTCCCTGCACTGAGAAGCTCCTAGACCAGAGGAGGACTGATGACAAGGACCTTCTTCCAGAGAGAGAAATTTGCACTTCTAGCCTCCTAGACTGTAAGAGAATAAATTTCTCTTTGTTAAAGCCATCCGCTTGTGGTATTTCTGTTATAGCAGCACTAGGTAACTAAGACAGTGGGTGTTGGCTTTATTCACAAAGTGATGGTTACCAACACAGCCTCCCATATCCCTGTCTTAAGTAGAGCTTGGGGTCCCCTCTTCAGGGTCGGGCACTGGTAGTAACAGAGTTTCTGTAGCATGGGTCTCTTCACATGGGTATTGTCTTAGTCATCTACTGCTCCTATAACAGAACTACCACAAGTGGATGGCGTTAACAAAGAGAAATTAATTTCCTCACAGTAAAGTAGGCTAAAAGTCCAAAATTCAGGGCATCAGCTCCAGGGGAACACTTTCTCTCTCCCAGCCTTCTCATCAAACTTCCCCATGGACTAGGAGCTTCTCCGTGCAGGGACCCCAGGTCCAAAGGTCACACTTTGCTCCCGGCACTGCTTTCTTGGTGGTATGAGGGCCCCAACTCTCTGCTTGCTTCCCTTTCCTTTTATCTCTTGAGAGAGAAAAAGTGGTGCAGGCCACACCCCAGGGAAACTCCCTTTACATTGGATCAGGGATGTGACATTAGTAAGGGTGTTATACAATCCCACCCTAACCCTCTTTAACATAAAATTACAATCACAAACGGAGGACAGCCACACAATTCTGGGAATCGTGGCCCAAGCCAAATTGATACACACTTTTTTGGAGGGACATAATTCAAACCATGACAGGTATCCACTTGGCAGGGGTAGAAACAGGTTTTCATGTTCTGTTAATTCCCCCACGAATATTCAAGAAGTTCTAAGGCATGAAGAGGCTTGAGATTTTAGTTTTAATGCTAAGTTTAAGGTGGCTGTAGATGTGGCAGGAACAAAAATCCAGACATCAATCACAAAAGTCATTACTGAAACGGAAAACTGGTCCTCTGGTAAAAGGTTGAATGTGGCTTCATATGGAGGGAAAAAGGATGAAGAGGGAC